CATGTTAGAACCTACAGCAAGAGGGATCCACTTGACTGAGACTCCCCATTGTGGGGAACAGATGAATAGAAGGACTCCAAAAACCCTTACTACTGGGAACTCTTAACAACACATGCTGCTGTCACTGCTGCCCCAGCCCCTTACTGTGTAGGCCACCGAGGCACTCACAGTCATCACTATCATTGATCATGGCTGAAGAAACTGCATAGTGGCTCTATCATTTCATCTACTCAGAAGCAGACCTACCACACCCTTTCCAACTGGCATCATCTGATTTTTCTTCTCTACTGATAGGTCTTTCTCTTCAGCCTACAAACATGCTGTTAGTTTTCCCATCTTACCAAAAACCAAAACAAAACAAATCAGCCCTCCATTCACCCACTTCTACCTGCTGCAGCTTCCACCCCATTTCTCTCCTTCCCTTTGTAACAAAATTCTGAACCAATTGTCTGTATTCTACCCTATTGCCTCTCCTCTCCTTATCCCTTAAACCCCCTCTAATCCAGCTTTCATCCCTCACAATACAAGAAAATTTCTTTTATCCTTATCACCAATGACCTCCATGTTGCCAAACCTATGTGATCAATTCTTAGTCCTCGCTTTATATGACCTCTCTGTAGCATTTTACATGGCTTACTAGTCCTTGGACCACTTCTCCACTTGGCTCAGGATTCCATATTATCCTGATTTCTTATCTCTCGGGCTTTTGCTTCTGTCTGCTTATTTCTTCATTTCTGCAGCCTCCTAACATTTGCAGACCCAGGGCTGAATATCTTTAGGCTTCTTTTTTATATACACTCGATGTCTTGAGATCAAGTATAATTTCTGAATTTGTACTTTTAACCTAGACCTCAAACCATAAACTCAAGACTTGAATACCCAAATATTCACCTCAACACTGGATGTCTAATAGGCATCTCCAAGCTTAATAGGTCCAAAACTGATCTCTTGATCTTCCTCCCAAAACCTATCCGCCCATAGTTTTTCCATGTCAGGTAATGACAACCTCTAGTTACTTAGGACAAAAATCTTGAAGTCATCCTTGACTCATTTCTTCTATCATACAGTATATGAAATTGGTTCTACTTTCAAATTTTTCTCAGAATCTGATCACTTCTCACCACCTCTTCTGTTGCCATCCTGGATTATTGGTGGTAGCTTCCCAGCTGGCTTCTCTGCTTCATTCTTGCCCCCAAACAAAAGCTGGAGTGATTTATTAATATTTATTAATATTAATATATGTAAGTCAAATTATATATTTCTTCTATACTGAAAACCCTTTAGTGGCTCTCCATTTCACTCATATTAAAAGCCAGATTCCTTACAGTCATGTGCAACACTATGCAGGATTGGGCCCTTGTTCTCTCATGGCCCTTGTCTTTTCTGAGGGAGATATTGCCTGCTGATCCAACCACACTGGCCTCTTGCTGTGTCTTCCACGTGCTATGCATACCTCAGGGCCTTTGCACTGGCTCTTTCTGCTCCCTGGATTGGTCTTTCCTTAGAGTTCAGCATGGTTCCCTCATCTCCTGCAGGTTTTTGTTCATACATCACCCTTTCAGGGAGGCCTTCCCTAACTTCCATATTTTTAAAATTATAAAATACCTCCTATTTTTTATCACTTTCCATCTTCTTTTCCTGCTTTATCTTTCTCCATGTCATTTGCACCATCTAAAATAGAACTTTTAAAAGTTATTTTGCTTATTCTCTGGGACAGAAGCTCCATAAAAACAGAGATTCTTGTCGGTTTTGTTAACTGCTATAGTCCTGGCTGCCTAGAATGGATGAATGAGTTGGATATTTAGTCATAAGGGAACTTAACTTAGTTTGTAAGATTTTAGGGCCTGCCAGCCACAAGCTCATGAAGAGTAACTGTAACCAAGACACAGGCTTTCCTGCATTAACCAGTGTCTCTGACTCTAACTTTTTTTGGGAAAAGTTATCTTAATCTTTATGACACTGTAATTAATTTTTAGATTTTCTAGTGGGTAAATATTTTTAAAGCACTCATAGTGTGTGCCTGGCACATGGTATGAGCTCTACAAATGTTTATTTAAAAAGTAACAAATCCTTTATCAAGCATTTTGTGATAAATAATGATGACAGAATGTGAAACAAATAAACCTCAAGAGGTTCAGAGTGGCCCTAATTCTATAATGGAGAGTGGCTTTATTAATTATAGAGCTGGAATACAGACTGATGGCTTAGAAAAATAGCAATACTCCCATGCCCTCTCTATTCTGGGAAAAACAAAACTATTTCTGTACTCAGTGGGATTATAAATACACAGAGATTTATGGAATAAACTCTAAAGAATTGCTTTTGAACTTAAGTCCATAAAACATATGCTTATGAAAGGAGGTATGGACTGAGGTAACAGAAAAGGAAAAAGGTTTACATGGTATCCATTCATTAAGTGAACACTGATGCCCCAGGCACTATGTTAGGGGCTAGGACCTGCCTTCTGGAATTTCACAATCTTGGAGAGAGATACAGGCTAACCAGCAATTACCAGTTCAGCCTTAGTGCTAGGAAAGAGTTATGTCCAGAGTGGGTTGAAAGCACAGAATTGCTTTCTCATCCCATTTGCAATATAAAAATAAAGAAATCATTTGCTGCCAATTAAACATAATGGACAGAACTCACCTGTTTGTCTCTACTCCCTGAGGAAGTCCCATCAAAATGAAGTAATAAAATCGAAAAAGGCATGAATCAGTGTTTTTTAACCTTGGCTGAATATTCAAAATAGAGCATAAATTTTTAAAATTCTAGTACCTAGGCCGTACCCCAGATGAATTAAATCAGAACCTCTGGGGGTGGGACACAGGCATCAATATTTTTATGCTATAATTTTTGCGGAGAGAACAAGAGGGGAGACAACAGAACACATAAGAAATCAACAGCATTTGAGAGCCTGAGAAGGGGCTGGACCTGTAATGGACTTAGCAGAACTGAAAGTACCAAAAACCAAACAGTTTCTGGGGCAAAGGAGGCTTGGAGGATGCCAATTAGAAGCAGCAAGATCTTTCCTGTAGCAGAACTTTGGAAAGGCTCAGGAATCGGAGGGACAGAGCATGGGGTGGACCCAGGAACAGGAGGGCTGGTTGGAAGTCTGCAGGGGGAGCAGTCAGACGACCCAGATTTTACCCCAAGACTGCCCCCTCCCCCACCCCTAGTTTGCTGTCCGGAGAGACGGGATGAGAGAGGGGACTCAGGTACAGTTAAGGGCAAATACGAACTAGGCTTATGTGAAAATCGCCCTCCTGAACTCTGAGGTGCCCTTCTGAAACCTCGGCAGCCAGATCCGTGCTGCCTGGCAGTAAACTGGAGGAAGCAGCTCTGGGCAGACTGGTCCCAGAGCAAAGTCCAGTCAGATCCTGGCACAGGAGAGTGCAGGCCCCTCTCTAAACCCTGAGGGGATGTCTGCCCACCCACAAACCCATAAACACCCAAGCTGCTGCTGCTCAGCTTTAGAGGCCTCACTTTCCATTCGAAAGGATTCGAAAGATCGCCAGACACTTGAGGAAAGTGTCCGAAGTGAAAGACAAAGACCAAAGCAGACTGGCAAAAGTAAATAAATAAAGGGAACTCAGAAAAACACACTCTAGTGAGCAGAAAAAAATTAGAGCTATATGTGGATAGATAGTTATGGACGCAGAGAGAGATCAGTGACAGATAGATGCTAGGTAGACATAGACAGTGACATTAGATTACTGGCCTCAGGAGAAAGCAGGAGGATGCTGCAAGCATTGCGAGAGGTGTGCTAGCTGATGCAGCACCTGCGCTCTGCAGCCAGACTGTGTGGCTTTGAGTCCTGGCTCCGTCACTTCCTAGCTGTATGATATGGGCAAGTTACTTAACCTCTCTGTGCCTCCGTTTCCTTATCTGTGAAAAGGGGGTAGTGATGATGCTGGTGATAGAACAAAAAGGAACTCTTGGAAATTATGAATATGATGGCAGAATAGAAAGTTTTAAAGTAAGAATTGAGGAAAACTCTAAGAATAATCAAAAAAACAAAGACATGGAAACTAGAAAGAGCAAGAGAAAGATGATAAACCTGAGAAGTACAACAATCAGAGTTGCAGAGAGAGAGAGAGAGAGAGAGACAGACAGACAGACAGAGTGACGGAGAGGAAGTCACAAGAGTAATAACCAAAACCTTTCCCAGAAATGAAGAACATAAGCTCAGATTGAAAGGGCCTCCTTGGTGCCCGCATGTTTGATGGGGAAAAGGCCCAGTCTAGGGCATGTCACTGTGACATTTTTGAACACTAAGGATAAAGTGACGATCCCCAAAGCTTCCAGAGATTGAGAAGCAGGTCACATACAAAGAACTGGACTTGAATGGCAGAGGAGATAATCAAGCTCTAAGCAATGTGGACTTGTTCTGGAAAGGCCACTCTAGTTGTTCCAGGACATAAAAGTGGTTTGAGTTAGTTAGGTGTATTTATCACTTCAAAAAATAGCTCTTGTGTGGTAGGCAGAGTGGGGGACTCAGCTCTGCTCAGTGAATCTAAAAATCTCATATCTGCCTTTGTCCAGGAGCATCTATTTCCTTGGTTTTTAAAATAAAGTGAAAGAGTATAAATTTACTCTTTCTTTTAATTTCTTCTAAATTTACTCTTCTTTTCCTCCTCCAATTCCCTCTTCCCTCTTTCTTTTTCTTTCCCTCTGCTTTGTTTCTTCTCCCTTTCCCTTATTTTACCTTCTGAACCTTCACACTTTTGTTGTGCCTATTTCTGTCTCTCCTTCTCCCTTTCTCTTTCTATCCACAGAAGTCTTATGTTTGTCTAATAATTGGCAGAAGAGATTTTTTTTTTTTTTTTTTTTTTAAGTGATGAATAGTTGGCTTTAGATCAAAGACAAGCCCTGTGGTTTTCTGGCTGCCCAAGAAGGGCGGTGCAGCTGGCAGGCATCCCAGCTGCCTGGTGATAGGCATGTGGAAGAGATACCAAGCTCACAGGTCACTGTGTGTGTGTTCATGTTCGTGTGTTTTGCAGGCTAACAGCAGGCTGAAGCAGATTGAGAAGGAATATACTCAGAAACTTGCCAAATCTTCACAGGTAAGCAACATTAAAAGAAACAAAATAAGGTAAAACCAAAACAAAAATAAAACCTATACATAAAAGCCTTTGTACTTTAAACTTAATTCTTTTCAGTTTTTTGTGGATTAGTATCATATTTTTGATGGGTATAAAATACATAGTATGTACTTTTAGTATTCGTCTTATTAAAAATCAAGAAAAATTAGGCATATTGAACCATTTGAACCAACACACACACACACACACGCACACACACACATATACACATGCATACACACACACACTCAGATGTTGTAAAACCAGCTTGTACACTTGAACAAGCCCAGGCTGAAATATGTTTCACAAGGGCAGGAGATACACACCTACATTTGTGATGTGAGCAGTTTGATACCATCTGTGCTTTTTTGCAATATTTCATTTTGCTGCATCTAAAAGCTACTTGAAACAAAACTCAGAATGGCAAATAATTCTAGGTTAAGTCAGCAACTCAACTGTTGACTCCATTTGGGAAAAAGAGGATTATCAATTCCTACATCCTTACCTTGCTGTTTATAGTTACTATAGTAGTTTTAGGGTAAGAAAGACCAATAATTGAATGCTTGTCTCTACTTGAAGTATGATGCTCGGAGTACTTTTTCTGCATAAGTTGTTATAATGATATTCAGTAGTGTCATTTAGGGAGTTGCAAGCATTCCTTAGTTGTATGAGTAATTCTAGAACAAATAAATACTACTTTTCTTCATTTTGCAGATGGCTAAATTAAGCCATTTAATTTTAAGGACATCATATCTAATAATTTTTAAAATCAGCTTATCTTAGTATTTTTATATGTATATAGTGCTATGTGGTAGTAAACTGGAATTTAGGTATCATCCTACTACCTAATACCACATAATAGCAGTAATAACAACAAAACAATAATAATACCTAACATTTATGGGGCAATAGCCCTATTGACTCATTCACTCGTCATTCACAATAACTGGTGTTAGAAACTATTATTGGCCCCATTTTTCCAGTTAAGAAAATTGAGCCTCAGAGAGACGAGATCACACAAGTTAGTAAATGACTAAGCCAGGGCCCAGCCTGGATCTGACTTCAAAGTAGAAGTTCTTAACCTTGATACTACCAGCCTGGCCCAAACCCTTAACATTTTTAATATGGCAAGACTCCAGTGATGGTTATCGTGAAGTTTCTTCAATTCTATAATTATTTCTAAAATGTGCATATTATATAATTCAAATCCCATTAGGAAAGCAAAAAGTCTTTGTCAAAGCAAAGAGTCATATATGTTTATATAAGAGATGATGATTATGTCTTGATTGCCATTATTCCAACTCTTCAGAAAAGAACATGGAGAAATATCCTTTTTAATCCACTGAAAAATATTATTACAATTAAAATAATTCTTATTACTCCAAAAATTAATATTTAAACTAAAGCATAAAGAAAAAAATCCCCAATTGGCATACCCTAATACTCTGCTTATTTTGTTTTATGGTAAATGAGGGAGGCAGACCGAGAGTGAGATATAAGATAGCCAATAAAAATGCCTAAATAATGAGAGTGTAAACAAGAGTATTTAAATTTCTCTAAAGGAATGTATGAAGAAGCCTGATTAGTTGATATTAAAGCAAATTAGATGTGAGTTAGTTCAGAAGAAAGCCTGAGCTTTGGAGTCCACAGACCTGGATTTGAATACCAGCCCTACCACTTCTGTGACCTTGAGCAAGTTAACTGCCCTCTTTGGAATTCAATTTCCTCATTTGTCAAATGGGAGAGCAGTGCTTACTTCATAGGGTGGTTTTACTATTAAGTAAAACAATGCCAACAATGTGTTTAGTACAGTGCCTAGTACAGACTTAGTTATTATAATAGCAGTACTAAAATTGCAATGGAGAAAGGAAAGGAGAGAGGGAAGAATGAAAAAAGGCCTGGAAGGGGGCAGAAATTAATTTCTTCAGATACTATGGTTTTGGGTGTTCAAGAATTCATAAAATCTTGGCCTGGCATGGTGGCTCACGCCTGTAACCCTAGCACTCTGGGAGGCCAAGGCAGGATTGCTCAAGGTCAGGAGTTCGAGACCAGCCTGAGCAAGAGCGAGACCCCGTCTCTACAAAAAAATAGAAAGAAATTAGCTGGATAACTAAAAATATAGAGAAAAAATTAGCCGGGCATGGTGGCGCATGCCTGTAGTACCAGCTACTCAGGAGGCTGAGGCAGAAGGATGTCTTCAGCCCAGGAATTTGAGGTTGCTGTGAGCTAGGCTGAAGCCACGGCACTCTAGCCCAGGCAACAGAGTGAGACTCTGTCTCAAAAAAAAAAAAGAATTGATAAAATCTCCCTGCTAAGTTTGGAGAGGCATGGGATTGCTAACTATGTTCCCAAGTAAAGACATGAAGGAGAAGGAGAAGGAAAAACCAACCAGTAACTATTATATAACCATCATTTCATAAATGAGAGGACAGTGCAACAACAAAAAAGAAAAACAAATCTTAGAAAGGGTGTAATAACATAATAAAAGTCCATCCTTCTCATAAAAGGTAGGGTGAGACTTTACACTGATATTTCATTTGCCCGCCTCTGAATACATATAAGTATTTATGTGTATATAAATGTATGTATATGTATTATGTCTGTCAACTGGCATTTGAGAAACATTGGTCTACAATGCCAGTCAGTTCAGAGAAACATACCAGATTATTTTAAAATGAACATTATAAAGCAGGACTGTGGATTGACTTTTTCCACAGCATCAGCCCAAAATAGCTCTACTTTTGTTTCCTAAAATATTAATTTTTAATCTCTATATGAAAATGCTCTAATCCACTTCTTTCCTTGAAGTTAATACAGTGTTAACATTAATAGTGGTAGCATTTTGTTTTATGGTTTTTAATTATGACCTTAATTATGATTCAATCAAAACTAGAAGGTTTTGTGCTGAGCGTGGTGATTCACACCTATAATCCTAGCACTTTGGGAGGCCGAGGAGGGAGGATCACTTGAGGCCAGAAGTTGAAGACCAGCCTGGGCAACATAGCAAGAGAGACCCCCATCTCTACAAAAAATAGAAAAATTAGCTGGGCATGGTGGCGCACACCTGTAGTCCTAGCTATTCAGGAGACTAAATCAGGAGGCTCACTTGAGCCCAAGTGTTTGAGGTTATAGTGAGCTGTGATCATACCACCACACTGCAGAGCAAGATCCTACCTCTAAAAAAAAAAATTAAAAAAAAAAACTGGAAGGTTTTGATTTCAATATGATTGTATATATTAGCTTTCATTTTTCTTGGAAACTTTTTACATTATCATTCTATGAAAAGGATAAATTATCTGAATATAATTTGCCAGGTGATGGTTTTTTCTTATTTATCATGATTGTAATTCTACTACTTAAATATTTGTGGAGTGCCAGTTATGTAGACTGTGCTCAGGTGAAAATAGTCTATTTTCTTATACTCTAGGTCTACAACCAGTAGAGTTTTGTTCCTCACCTGAAGCACGTTCATCTGATTAGTATGATTATTTCTCAATTTTAAAGTAAATATTAAATTTTGTTTTAAAAATTATCCTTATTTTTGCTACCTCTCTATATCCATCTTATCTGTCAGTCTTTCTACCATTTGTCTGTTTATCAAGCCAAGGTGTTTCACCTGAAATGTTTTGATATTCTCTCCCTTATATCACCTTCATAAAAGGTTTTAAAAGTAGCTTTCCAAAGATAATCTCATTATTTCCCCCAAAGGAATCTCATTATTCCCCCAAAGAATGTAAGATTTGATTTTCCACACAAAAACAAGCATGCCCTCCTCAGAACATCCTGTACTTCACTTGTAGTCCCTTCCAAAACCTGCATTTATTTCTTTTTGATGTATTTTTTTGTCCTAAATCTTCTGAAAATGAGAGATGTCCCTGTTTCATGCCCTTGTGATCATTTGAAATATCCCAAAATATTTTTATCTTCAGTCTTTGGTCAGTTACAAGCTAGTCTCAGTCTTAGGGTTTTTTAAAAAATTACTTTGTACTTTAAAAATATATTGTATGAAGGCTGTTGTGGATATATGAATCTACACATGATAAAATTGCACAGAACTAAACACACACACCCACATGCACCCTCTATGGAATTAAACCCACCTCTTCCACAGAGTAGTTGTTTACTTAGCTTAAAACATTGAAATCATGAGTTATTTTTTACTTACTATTTGGCCCCATCTTCTCATGAAAGATCAATCTTAAGTTTCATGCTAGGCCAAGGAAATATGGCTCTTTCTTATCCCTGGCTCCTCTGGCTCTGGGACTGTTAGTCGATTATTCTGTGCATCAGTTTTTGGCATTTACTATAAGAACTTAACCTTTTCTATTTCACGGAAGAGCTATGAGAGTTAATTGAATTGATACCACAATGGAAGCAATATTTAATCAAAATTCATAAAATAGATGAAAACTTCATTCTCAGTAAATGAGTACCTCTACACATAGCAGAAGGTTCAAGTTTGCATTTAATAATATTGACATACTGCTATTGTGTATTTTGTCATTTCACAATTGTCTTAATATTTGATTATTTACAAATTCTAAATGTTAAGCTTTTTACAGTGATTTTGCTCAATTTTAAAAGCATAAATACTCCATATTTTATTATAAAGATGCTATTATGTATGTCAATAGTAACAACTAATATTTCTATGGGAAATACAAAATATAAACACTGACTCTAAACAGTTTCTGTTTATTGCCTTATAATGCTGTAATCTAGTTTTTTCACCAAATAAGTTGGAAAACTGAGCTTCAATAAAGATAACTAACTTGTCCAATATTTCTCACCAACTGACCCCTTCCCATAGAACCAACAGAAATATATTCTACCCCAGGACTAATGTTGTTTCTTTTTTTAGAAGAAACAACTATTTCCTGGTTTTAAAAAGTCATCACTACTGAATTCGAAAGGAAATGGATACATCCAAACCAAAGGAAAGGGCAATGCTCTCAGAAGGCCAATTAAATACAAAAATTCCTCATCAGATGGTTAATTTGAAAAGTTGGAGGAACACTGTCCCGGAGAGAACCAATTCTCAAATGCAGAGTATACTACAGGAGTCTCTGAAATGGCACTATTTGAACCAAAATAAACTTTAGTGACTATATATCAGAAAAGAGACACCCATTTGGAAGTGTAAACTTCTCTTCAATACCAAAACCTTATTTAAAGAAAAATAAAGTTGGCTAGTTAGAGGAACTAATTAGTGCAGTGATTGATCTGACTGTGTTTTTCAAATCCTGCCTATCTCCTTAGTTGAATGTCATTTTCAACAATGTGAAATATTTGACTTCCTTACATGCCTCTGTTTCTTCTTTTATAAAAGATAGGCAATAGTAATATTTGTTTCACAGTAGTAAATGACATAAGAACTTAAAGTATTTAATACAACACACAAATGTTAGTGAATACCCAAAATTTATTGTGTAGAATTAGGTGACTTTGAGGAATGAACTTTGTTCATTATTTTCTTTGGTTATTACAGTTCAAAGTATTATGAAAAGCAGAGTAGCTTTTCTCATTCTAATAAGTATATTTCTCAGTAAAATAAAATCTGACACTTTTCATATTTTTGAGATCACAGATGTTCTTTCTTCTGATGAGTAAATATTGTGGAATGCTATAGTGGAAATGTCTTCCAAGTATATTTGGTTCAGCAGTTGTTCACCATTCGTAGTTTTATTATAGTCTTTTATTGTGTGGAATTTCATGCATTATAATAGTGTGTGATATGTTAATTGAAAATATTTAGCTTGTGGAATAGAGTTTTGCTAAATCCATTCTTTTGTTAAGCATAAATACATATAAAATAGATGCCTCTCCCTGAAGAATTTGAAGTTATAGCATGCTGTTTTCATTTTAGATCATAGCAGAACTTCAGACAACCATTTCCTCTCTGAAAGAGGAGAACAGCCGGCAGCAGCTTGCTGCAGAAAGGCGGCTCCAGGATGTTGTACAAAAGTTTGAAGATGAGAAGCAGCAGCTGATTAGAGATAATGACCGAGCAATCAAGGTAATCTGAAGACTTCAGTAACCAGTGGTACCAGCTGCTTTAATGTAATTAAAAGGAGGGCTGCAATCCCAGCAGTGGGCAGATGAATGCAGGTATCTGGCTTGTTCACACAGCCTGCAGTAATTCCATTCACTGGACTCTACCTTTGATGTATCCAGTGACTCAGGCTGACTTCCCTCCAAGAGATCGCATGCCAGCATAAAAAGTCATTTTTGGCAAGCCCAATCCATTCACATTGAACAAATATTTGAAAAATACCCTGTCTTTTCTCTTGAGAACCACTTTGGAATTGTCTCTTGAAATTAGAATGACTGTTTTAGACCAGTACTGCTGGCTATTAAATTCAGAAGTCAGCTTCCAATTTACATTCTATTCTTTGCCCACATCCTTTCATTATGTATTTGCATAATGGGAAAAAACCTATTCGAGGCTTGGAATGCCAACCATTTGATGTGCTTTGACATAGTACAGGGTAGATGTGTTGCTGCTGAGAACCTAGGTTGTTTCCAAATGAATTCAGAGAATCACACCTTTAATAGCAACAGAAAATTCCCTGGACCCTAATTCTTTAGGTGATAGGCAGTTAGATCTCAAAGTAGTTTTTTCTTGGCTTCATAGCGGTGAGTGTTATTGTAAGTGTCTACATCATGCTGTGTTTAATCTATGAGGATAAGCATCTGGAAACCTTTATAAATAAGACTTAAAAGAGAACAAAAATTTCTTTAAGAATTCACAGCAAAAGATTATTTTTCAGTGACTTTACTTTGCTATAACAATACTTAAAGCATGTAGAATAATCACACAAGGCAAAGAAAAAGAAAAGAAAAATTGGGGTTTTATAGCTGCTCTTTTCTGCCTAACCTCTCCATCTTCCTTTTCTATAACCTATTGTAGACAGTCTGTGTAATTTAGGGAAAAGTTCACGTTAATGTAAGTTGCTTTTTTATGTGTTCCGTTTAAGCCTGAACAACACTGGATAGAATAAAAAGCCTTAAGGGATGAACGAAACCTCAGAGGCCACTCCATCCAGCCTCCTCACTTTACTGATGAGGACTTATTTTTTTGTTAATGACATTTCCCCTATATATTTCCACCTGTGACCTTTTTCCCCCAATGTATGTTATAAGACCAAAAAAAGAGATGTTTCTTTTTCATAGTCTGGTAATTTACAAACATCTTTAAAGTTTTGTTCATTTACAAATGCACAGGAAGTGCCCCGTTGATCTGTATAACAGTTTCACTTTGTATGAACTGCATACTTTGTTTCAGTTGTTTTAGTTGTATAAAATTTTCATTTTAGGTGAATTTCTTTTCCACTTTAGATCCAAATGCCAAGTGGTAGGTAATTTCTAAATTTTAAATAAGTAATTAAATCCCAAAATAAGCAAAAAGGAAAGCATAAATTACTCCTAACAATGTAGTTCTAGTATTGTTTCTTGAAGATTAAAAAATAGCTTGAAAGAATTATAATTAGTATAATTGCATATTTTAAATTATTTATTTTTATACTTCTAATTCATTTACCTATTAAAAGGGTAAAACATTCTGATCTCAATTGCAAACAAAGCCCCAAATCACAAAGACTGAATTTAAAAGATGGCAGTTTACATGTATATAACATATATAAAAAACATATGTACCATCTCTTACCTGAAAATAAAGAATTGAAATTACAATATAAGTAAGATGTAGTTCAGCTTGGATTCACTTACTTAGATTATGTATAAAGTGAATGACTTTTTTTTTTTTTACTAACCACATTCAGGTTGCCAAGATAATTGAATCATTAGCATTCATTGCCTTGGCTCTTTTTTTTCAGACTATGTCACAAAAAATAATAAGAATAATAGCTGATATTTATTCAACATGTACTGCATGCCAGGCTCTCTGCCAAACATTTCATATATCTCATGTTCCATTATCTCATTTAAACCTCATGGTAATCTTTATGAGGAAGGTATTTCTATCATCCCCATATTAAGATGGGGAAACTGGGGCTCTGAGGTTAAATAACAAGCCCAAGATACTACTAAGCAAGTGGCAGAACCAGGTTCAAGCCACAGTCTGTCTCACTTGAGAGTCTCAAATATTAATTGTTATACCTTATCCGGCATCCTACATTCTATGAATGTGAGTCAAATGGCCAGGTGCAAAAATGAACCCAGATATTCTCACTCTCCTCCTCTGTCTCCCTGAATGACATAGCGTTTTTGCAATAGTTTGATTTGGACAGTCTAATTATGTTTGAGTGTTTTGTACATATAGATACATGGATAGATATTAATACTCAGTGGCACAGTCACCACGAGGCTTGATTTTCTGAAACCAAATATATTTGTCTGCAGATTATTCAACAGTGCCGTAAAAACAGTGTACATGCTAATTGTGAAACTCACTATATCCTACTTCCAGGTTGATAATGAATTGAGCTCTCTCAAGCTGGTGATCAAAAATGGAGACAGAGAGTAAATGTAGTACTCATTCTTTCAAAGCTTACGATAATGTTTCCATGGATAAATAGCACCTTTCATCAAAGTAATTCTCTAGAGAAAATTTGAAGTATAAAGTAGGCTATCAAAATCCACTTAAAGGACCACCAGTCTGGTGCAGTGTAACTTGATAAAACATTTCTGGAGGATAATTTGGCAATAGCTATCATTATTAAATTGCCTGAGAGACACACCTAGCCTTTGACCCATTTTTCAGAATTTGCCTTAAGGTGGCAATTAAGAGTTGTACTAAGCTTTAGCTAGTCAAAAAAAAAAAAAAAATTTGCTTGTTCTAGCTTTCATTCATTTAGTCAATAACTATTTCTTGAGCTCCTATTATGTGCCAGGCACCTGCAATACCAGCATTCTCAATTTCCTCATTGTTCACCAGAGAAAATAGACTGAAAACTATGTACTATTGAAAATGGCGTTGAAGAAGCGTATTTAAGGATATTGAAAATGTTCACAAGATATTTTTCCATGAAAATGCAGTTACAAGACATCATATACATATGAGCTTATTTTTGCAAATAAAGTACATATCAAGGGAAAAAAAGACTGCAATCATATATCAGAATTTTACTAGTAGATATCTCTGAGTGGTGAAATTTGTTATTTTTCTTATTTTATCTATGTTTAAATTATAATGTCACTTTTGCAATAACAAATAATTACAAGTGTTTGGGGAAAAAGGAAGAGCTACCAGCCTAAAGAAATCCAGTGGACATTATGGGAATAGTAGTAGCTGAGACTAACAGAGGTATGATCCTGCTATCCAACAAATAACAGATAAAGTAAGGTCTTTCACAGCACAGAATTCCTTTAGTGTAAAATTAGTTATAGAAACAAACTAATTCAGTGGCTCACGCCTGTAATCCTAGCATTCTGGGAGGCCAAGCAGGAGGATCACTCGAGGTCAGTTCGAGACCAGCCTGAGCAAGAGCGAGACCCCATCTCTACAAAAAAATAGAAAGAAATTAGCTGAATGACCAAAAATATATAGAAAAAATTAACAGGGCATGGTGGCATATGCCTATAGTACCAGCTACTCAGGAGGCTGAGGCAGAAGGATTGCTTGAGCCTAGGAGTTTGAGGTTGCTGTGAGCTAGGCTGACGCCACGACACTCTAGCCTGGACAACAGAGTGAGACTCTGTCTCAAAAAAACAAACCAATTCATAAGAATATATCTGTTATGCTGTGATAGCTTAAAAATATTGAGTAAAACATCTTCCTTATCATTTATTGACTTCTTTAGTATGCTCCCTACATTCAAAGTCACGCTTCTCAAAAGAATTATCTCTGTTGCATACCAAAACACCCCAAAACGTGGTGGCCATGTTATACGCCCATAATTCTTTGGATCAGGAACTTGGTCAGGGATCAGCTAGGTGGTTCTTCTGCTCAGTGTGTGGCATTGGCTGGGGTTCCTCATGGGGTTACATTCAGCAGGAAGCTTGACTGGAGTTGGAATGACTGAGATGGTTCCAGGCCCTCATCTCTACATGGCCTTTCTCTCTGACAGAGTAGTCAGCTTTTGACACAGCAGCTAGTATCAAAGAGAGGGCATTGAAAGAGGCGAAGGCAGAGCCTGCACTGTTAAGGCCTGTCCTAAGAAGAGTCACAGTGTCACTTCCACCACACTCTGCTGGTCAAGATAGGTCCCAAGGCCAGCCCAGAATCAAGGGGAGAGAAAGTAGATTCCACCTCTCAATGGGAGGATTAACCAGGATGATGGGAGATTTTGAGACTCTTTTAAATTCACCATAGCAGTCTGTACTAAAGGTCCAGTTTTCATCTCTCATTTATTCCTCAGCTCTACAAAATAGTACAAAGAAGAAAATACCTATATTCCCACTACCCAGAATTAACGGTAATTAACATCATGTGTATTTGCATCCTTTTTTTAAAAAAGAAAATCTACTCTATCATTTTTATAAAAATAGAAAATGGCATATGCTCATTATAAATCAGTCAAAATGCAAGGGGAAAAATGTTAAAAGTGTTTAAAGTCACCCCAAATCCCATTACTCAGAAATAACCGTCATAAATTGAGTGAAAATAATTTCAGATATCCTCCTCCGTATAAGGGAAAGAAGAAAGGAAAGCCAAATGGACTTATGAAAGAAATACTACTCTAGATTCTGTTTTTTGTTTGTTTTAGGAAAATCTTTGGTTCTACTGTCATTTAACAGGTGGAAGAAACTAGAGTAACCCAGAAGAAATTGTTAACCTTTTGGACAGAATGTATTGATTTTTGGCTGAAAATTGTGTGCATTTGCAACCTTATACTTTTTCTCATAACCCCTCCTCACCACTTCCTCCAACCTTGGATGGTATTATTATTTTCACATTGTCCAGGTTTATAATATTCACAATTTGCTTTTAATCATATCCTTTAATTCTTGTGCTATATTTAAATGGATGCAGTGCTTACACTAGGCCTTTTTCCATAGTGTCTCCATTCCCAAAGTTTTTACTTTGAGTTGTTTCTTAATTGGCTGGATTGTACT